TCTGTAAGTCAAATGGCACCATCAATCATATTTAAGTCGCCCCGGAGCGCCACGGCAAATAATAATAATAGCCGTTTCTTCCCCTACACAAGTCGTTCAGTCGACTTCAGGGGTTGAAATTCACTCGTAAGGGGGTGAATTAGGGAGAGTATTATTATTATTATTATTAAATACGGAGGAAGTAGGGGAATACAATAGACTCAAGAGGACGCAGTGTTATGAGCCAAACCAAAGCCTACCTACTTATAACCGACAAAGATAAATATTATCCATGTTCTCAAATGTTGTAGTAATATAATACAGAAAACCCCAAATCATTAGAGATCTACCACCAGCATCGTCAATCCATGCAGATTTATTTAAAAATTATTTTGAAAACAAATATTGGAATAACAATATTTTTCAAATGTATATTTAAAAATTAAATATTGCTAATTGATATTTTTATATTATTTGTCTGTCATATTATAAATTCAGATTCAAAAAAGAAATAAAAAGTTGACATGTGACAGTATTACTTACAAAATTATCTTTGAAAACAGATTCTCGAAAAACATATGGTTGTTCTTACACAAGTTTTATAATATTCAGTTTTATCTTTTGAACAGTCTGTAAGGGGTTTTCTCGCCACATAGAAAACGGTTCCTTACGAATGTCACTGAATACGGGCGGTTCTCGAGCGCCAAATTTTTGAAACGGCGTCGAAAGTACTCGGGTAGCTACAGATAGAGATGAAAAATTCAACGGGTCAGAGGTCACTTAGACGCAGGTAATGGTAGGTCACAAGTAACGGGCTTTATTCGTTGCTTGGGCTAATACAGAGCTGAAATACAAGGGGGAAATAAAGTATGGAATTAGTAACTAGTAATACGGCAAGTTAACATTGACACATATATTGTTTTGAACTATTTACAACATAAAAAAAAAGAAATTATATATTTCAACGCTCACCCCAGTTGTGATGATAGTCAATATAACCCTGAACAAAAAAATAAAGAAACAAAACGGACGTTATTGAATCCCGACTAGTCCCAATCAGACGTGAACATTGAATTAAAATAAAATAAATGTTTCGGTCGCAGAAAAAATTATTAACTTGACTATTTAGTCGGTAATTAAACTAAAACATAATTTCCCATTTCGGTAAGGAAAAATTCTAAGAACGGTCGTAGCAAAAATTAACTATTTAACTGTTGTATCGGGAATTAAACTAAAACATAATTTTACTATTTCGGTAAGGAAAAATTATCTAAACGATCATAGAGAGTGCGAGGAGACAGGAACGCGAAAGTATTACTTATAGTAAATATACGGAAAGAAAATGAAAATAAATTTATACCCGGGGTAGCCTATTATCCCAGAATGAGCTGATCGTCATCACGATCCCACTCAGACAGGGTAATGAAGCTATTTAAGATTTTTTTTGTATTTACAATTTGCGCGAAAAAAAAATGAAGAATAAACAGGGAATAAGAAAACTAACGCGGATAGCACCTAATCTAAGAATGAACTGATCGTCATCAAGAGCCCGTTCAGACAGGGACAGGATACTATTTAAAGATATTTAAATTGACGGTGAAAGAGAAAAACAAACTATTATCGGAGGGAAGAAAATTACTAACGCGGATAGTACCTACTCCAAGAATGAACTAATCGTCATCACGAGCCCGTTCAGACAGGGATAGGATACTATTTAAGATTCTTTAAATTTGCGGTTTACACATTAACTAAAAAAAAAAATAACGCGGATAGCACCTACTCCAAGAGTAAACTGATCGTCATCACGAAACCGTTCAGACAGGACAGGATGCTATTTAAGATTGTTTAAATATACGGTAAAAGAATAAACAAACTATTAATAGAGGGAAAACGTCTCCTCGAAAACTCCGTTTATAAATATTCCCAACTTAATTACAACGCGGCACTTACTAAACAAAAGTATTTATCAATAAAATCAAATTTAATTCCCGATTTAACCTACAAAAAAGAAAAAAAATTCTTAGTACAGACTAACGATCAAAAGTCTAAATCCCGGTATTACAATATTAAAGAACTAAATCCTATCATTTATTATTTAAATCAAATTCTATTCCCTTTAAAGAAGCGGTAATATTTTTGCCAAGAAACAATTTTTAATATTTATTAATGAAATCAAATTAAACCTTTAAACTCAACACTATCTATAAAAACGGTATTATTTTTGCCAAGAAATAAACTCTAATATTTATTACTGGAATCAAATCAATTTTTTTAACTCAATACTGAATTAAAATGTTCCTATATCTACAAGATAATTCTGTTTTTAAAATGAAATACGTTCTCAATATAAAACGTAAAAAAAGCGAAACAAGGTTTTTTAGCTAACGCCTTTGTAAACACCAGAAAGAAAATAAATTATCGGCGGTGAATTGATTTGAGAATGCGGCTAATATTCTAATAGTCCAAGCGGCGACCGCCGTAAAAAGGTGGTCATCCAGTACAAGTACAAAAATATATTTTATAATTTTTTGGGTATTAGATGAATAATAAACCATCGGTCTGGTAGTCTATGATTTGTATTTTATTTTTTTTTGCAAATTTGATCTCCATAACTTAAACATAATTTTTTAGTTTTCGATGGCGTTTTGACCAGATGAATATAGAAATTCAAGTCTGGCGTTCTTATTCTTGACGCAACTGTTTGTTAGACCACCCCAACAAATTTATTACAACAACAAATTTTATATACAAGGTATAAGAAAAAATCAAACGTCAAAATTTTTAAATTTTTATTTTTTATTCCTCTTTCGAATAAAATTGGTCTGGCACGTTCATACTTGACCAAAATTCTGCCAGACCAAGACTAAGCAAGTCTTTCTCTACTGATTGTAAAGTGCGAGTTGTTTTTGTTTTTGACATAATTGACATCATTCAAATCTTAACTTGTTTAATTCGCCAAAATGTGATGTGCTTGTTTTTAAATGACATTTACTTAGCTAAATAATTAAATAATTTTTTATTGAATTAGAAAAATAAAATGCTTCATCTGTAATATCACTAATAGCAAGGATAAAGTATTATCGTTTAATGCTGATACATTTCATAGTCCAAGCGGCGACCGCCATAAAAAGGTCAACCAGTATAAGTACAAAAATATATTTTATTACTTTTTGGATATTAGATGAATAACAAACCATCGGTCTGGTAGTCTATGACTTGTCCAATTTTTTTTTTAAATAAAATTTGTATTTTTTTTTTGTAAAATTGATCTACATAACTTAAACATAATTTTTTAGTTTACGATGCTGTTTTGATTAGATGAATATAGAAATTCAAGTCTAGCATTCTTATTTTTGACGCAACTGTTTGTCAGACCACCCCCAACAAATTTATTACAACAACAAATTTTATATACAAGGTATAAGAAAAAATTAAACATCAAAATTTTAATTTTTTATTCTTTTTCGAATAAAATTGGTCTGGCACGTTCGTACTTGACCAAAATTCTGCCAGACCAAGACTAAGTCCTTCTCTGCTGCTTGTAAAACGCAGGTTTTTTTTTATTCAATAAATTTTTAAATTTTTCTTGATTTTTGAAGCATATTTTACAACAGAATCATACAAAAATATTTTCTCATCACTGTACTAAAAACAAACAGATCGATTTTAGAATTGTTATGAAATTCTATTTCAATTTTGTTAAAAATTATTTTGTGAAGGTTAAAAAAGTTTTCTGAAGTTCTTTGGTTCTAAGTTAGCAAATATTCTAAAGAAGATAATTCATAAAAAAAGATAATTACAAATTAAATTTACCAATAGACCTATCCTACTATCAACATATTCATTTGATATTGATAGTGGCAGTATTTGAGATGAACCAGCAGAATCGGTAACAAAATCAAAAATATTTGGTTCAGCCTAATATTATTAAATGCATAGACCGTAAAATTATTTAGGCAATATATATACTTACGTTAGTAGTATTTTTTTCATTATTTTTATTAACTCTTTGTGAAGATTTATTAAATTCGTCAACCACAGATTTTTTACAGCAACCAGATTAAGGTAATATTTCAAATGATAACCTGCAGATTTTTGAAGTTCAGGTATTAATATTAAATCCCGTACTTGAAATGATTATTTTTTCTTATTTCAATAAATAAACAACATCTTTGAAATGTATCAGCATTAAACGATAATACTTTATCCTTGCTATTAGTGATATTACAGATACAGCATTTCATTTTTCTAATTCAATAAAAAATTATTTAATTATTTAGCTAAGTAAATGTCATTTAAAAACAAGCACATCAGATTTTGGCGAATTAAACAGGTTAAGATTTGAATGATGTCAATTATGTCAAAAACAGAAACAACTCGCACTTCACAAGCAGTAGAAAAACACTTGCTTAATCTTGGTCTGGCAGAATTTTGGTCAAGTATGAACGTGCCAGACCAATTTTATTCGAAAGAGGAATAAAAAATAAAAATTTTGAGGTTTGATTTTTTCTTATACCTTGTATATAAAATTTGTTGTTGTGATAAATTTGTTGGGGGTGGTTAACAAACAGTTGCGTCAAGAATAAGAACGCCAAACTTAAATTTCTATATTCATCTGCTCAAAACGCCATCGAAAACTAAAAAATTATGTTTAAGTTATGTAGATCAATTTATTTAAAAAAATTGGACAAGTCATAGACTACCAGATCGATGGTTTGTTATTCATCTAATACCCAAAAAGTAATAAAATATATTTTTGTACTTGTAGTGGATGACCACCTTTTACGGCGGTCGCCGCTTGGACTATAACGTCTAAAATGCTGTAAATCAAGTAATATATCGAACTAAAAATTTTAATTTCCTCTCGGGCCTGGTTCATCTTTCTGATTCCCTTTCCCTATCATAGACCCCACCAACGCCAGTCCCACCACGCAGCGATACTCGATCGGCGTTCGCGCATGTAAATTAACTCAGGACCAGCAGTTCAATCGCGTTTAATATTTATCAAAAATGAAAAATGAAAATAAACTGATTGAGGAAAAATTGACTTCATTATAAGTCAGTAATTTAAAAAATACCTTGTGTTTTAGACGAAGTACTATTCTTCCACATGAGTACCAAGATCATAGAGCAAAGTAAATTATACTCGACAGCACAGGATGCCAAATGAGGTTCCACTCTAGATAAAATAGTTGTGATCAATTGAAACTTTATACAAGTTTGTTTTTGCTCCCACTGGGATCTGTAAAAAATCAAAGGCATAATTTAAAGGCTAAACATAGAGCTAATGTAGCATTATTTCTCCTTATTTTTCCTTTCACAGGTGTTCAAATATAGCAGTTTATGAAGTAGATATGATAGATATTTCACACCAGCATAAGTCTAATTGAACTAAGAAGAATACAATCCAGTTGTATATTATATTTTTTCAACCAAAATTTTAATATTATAGAGTTATCGTAATATGTATGATGGTGGGTAGGGTTTTCCGGTTTTTTTTTTTACCTGTAAGTCAAATAGAACCATCAATAGTTTTTGTGTCGCTCCGGAGCGCCCCGGCAAATAATAATAAATAATAAATTATATCCACCCCTTCCCCTCACAAGCTCAAGGTAAAGGTTATAAATTTAAAAATTTAAATTTCAGGTATTGGCAGACGATAAATATAACAGTTAACTTGCTTCTGGAGATCAGATTTGATTTGTAAGGGCTTATCCCACACTCACTATTCCCAATACCAGTTTTTTGTCACTTTGTTTGTCTCTTGTAATTTTTAATTTGTTCAAACAATTGTATATATACTATTTTAACTTTTGACTTAAAAGTCTAATTCTGATTTTATAATATATTTTTTTTTTAAATCTTTTTAAATTGTAAGTTTACATCCACAATTTTTGTAGATGAGCACTGATGATGGCAAATAAGCCGAAAGCGCTTTGCATTGATTAATAAAAAAGTTTTGCACGAAATACAAGTTTTTCCTTTTTGTATTCAATAAGGCATATGAAAAACAAATCTAAAGCCAGTTAACCTTTATAGCCAGATTTTCTAGTTTGGCATTTTTTTGATAAAATTATTTTGTGGTCGTAGGAAAAATATTGTACACCATTTGTGTGAAAGTGATTTTTTACACTCGCGTTATTGTCGCACTCGGCTTATGCCCCGTGCGATAATATTTCTTGCGCGTGTGAAAAATGTCACTTTCCACACTCGTAATGTAATAATATACAATAACTCTCATTCATCGTAGCCTTAACTCAATTTAAAAATCTGATGTGTCCAACACATGACTTTCCTATCTAGTTATTATAGGCTTTTTCCGGTTATTTTGTACAACCTATTGCAGCATCTCTATAAATGTTTAGAGGATAAACTAAATATATACATTGTCCACATACATCTACCTCGAAACATTCTTCTATAGATATTCATGGAAAACGAAAATACTGAAAAATTAAAATTGCCTACAATTTTTTCATTACGGTCCATTTTAGAAAAATCATGTATAAACAAAAATTATAGAGATCGATATCGCAAACAACTTTTATTTCAAAAACTTTCATAAAATTCAGAATTTTGCACATTTTGTCAAATTTCTCGAATACGGACCATTTCAGGAAATTTTTACATAAAACAAAAATTATAGATAATAATATTAGAAGTAACTTTTATTTGAACAATTTTTTTCTCCAAACATTAATAACAGATATATTCCATAAAATATAAAAGTGGCCTCCCATAAAGTACCCCCCCAGATGTTCCGACTATGTCTAAAATCTAATCATTTCACGTCAGGCCGAAATAAACCTTAAGTTTAAAATTTAATGTTTTTTTCTTTATCCGTTTTTGAGTTTTCTTCAAAATTCGAAATTTACACATTTTCTCAAATATCTCGAATACGGTCCATTTTAGAAAAATTATGTATAGAATAAAAATTATAGAGAATTATATTACAAACAACTTTTATTTGAACAATTTTTATAAAAAATTATTTTTTTTACATTTTGTCAAATTTCTCGAATACGGACCATTTTAGGAAAATTTTGCATAGAACAAAAATTATAGATAATTATATTAAAAGTAACTTTTATTTGAAGAATTTTCTTCTCCAAACGTAAATAACAGATATATTCCATGAAATATAAAAATGACCACCTATAAAGTACCCCCCCAGATGTTCCGACTCTGCCCAAAATCTAATCAGCTCATTAGACGTAAAAATCCGTCGAAAACTCGAGGTCGAAAAAAATCATGATTCCTATACTTTCCTTATATCTGTATACAGATAGGAAAGTAAAAGTAAAAGTAAATGTATCACGTGTTATGAAAATGCCTATAGTAAATCAATTGTTATTTGTGTCACTGTAGTCGGCTGGCAATATTATATGTCTCGCAGATGAGTCACCCGCAAATTATTATAGAGCTTGATTATTATCCGTAGAGTACATTACTTTGCAATGCGTAGAAACCAGATTGAATTTATAGGCAGTGGGCGTGGTTACAGACCTTCCAGCGTCTTATTTATAATATTGCATATTTGCATTCAGTAGCGTAGTAAGCGTTTTATTTATTGCATTTCCTTTCATTGTTATTCTGTTATTGTGTTTAGTGTTTCGATTTGATCCAAAAAAACGTTTAGTTCGTAGTTTTTCGATTATTCAATTTTGTGTGTTTTGGTAAGTACAATTTATACTTATTTAAATTTCGACTATTCAATTTTGCGTTTATTTTGGTAAGTACAATTTATACTCATTTAAATAGTAAAAAAGTAAGTTTTATAAAAGACCATTCTTAAAAATTAGTATTTTTACACTTATTCTGGTATGTAAAATCACACTTTATACAGAATAATTATGGTAAAAGAAATATAAGACCCCATCTAAAGGTCGAAAAATCATGGTATTTTTGTGCATATTAAAATAGAGGTAATTTTAGAGAACCAGGGGTATGAACATCAATGAATCGATTACATATTACTCATATTTATATGTTCAAAATTTAAGTTAAATTATAATTCATTTAAGTCTGGTCGTAAATAAAATGTATGAACACGTGTGAAGTGCTTCACATTTTTAGAACTAAAGTGACAAAACTTGGATATTATTCGTTTTAGTCATAATTTTTCTACATATTTTAAATATGCTACGGAAAAACATAATTGGTTTTTTTACTACTAACATGAGAAAGCACCATTATTTACTCCATTCCTCTAATGAGAAGTAATATTTCTCACCCTAGGTAAATAATGATAATAAAAAAAAAACCTAGGTAAATAATGAAACTAAATTTCATTATTTTCATTTTGTTAATTTGACAACTAAATTTTCAGACTACTTGATATTTTAGAATATTTGAAAAATAAGTAGGAATTATCTAAAGCTGGGTTTATCAAATCTAATCAAATCAAATATGATAATATATATTAGTGTAAACAGTAAACATATATATTAACTAGGAAATTCAACACCGGCTTCAAAATTTATTAATTAATACCAATAAATCCATGTCATTAAAATATCAAAAATGCAATGAGATATTTCCTAGAATCATACCAAAATTTGACACATGCCAAATTTTTACATAAATAAAGCCAGTCTGATTAGAAACACGCTCCAGTCTGCTTGATATTTCAAAATATTTAACAAATTGTTAGGAAATTACTTATGTCAAAATTAAAATTGCTAATATATTAATGTTAGTAGTAAAAAAATTCTATACATGCCTCGGCTGAGGAATCTATTACTTACTTCGCACATTATATCCCTCGGCCCTCGGCGCTACGCGCCTCAGGATAAAAAGTCCTCGGTAAATAATAGCTCACTTCTCACCCTAGGTATGTAATGTACTATTATTTATGGTAACGGCATTTTACTTAACAGCTCTTTACCTGTACTTAATCCTGCCTATAGGTAATTATTATAAGACGGTTTTCACTAATAATTTTTTTCATGGAAGTATAATTCAAAAGCTCATTAAAACAGATTATTCATAACAGGATTACAATTATTATAGTTTTAGCTAATTTAAATAATATTTTAATTGTAAATAGAGAGTCTCAATATCAAGCATCTAATTATAAGTAAAGAAAGTAATTCCTTTTACTTTCTTTTAGGAAAAAAAAAAACTAGAGATTACCATGACGAAATTAATTGGAACAATTTTTTGCAATGTACTAGAATGCAGTTAATACCAAATCTTTCTCCTAGGGCTTTACTTGTAATCGATAATGCCAGTTATCACAACGTGAAATTTAAAAAATAGATTACAAGCCAGACTAAAAAGGCAGATTCGATTAGCTGGTTCGTTCAACGTAGCATTCCGCATGATGCTAAAATGACAAAACCGGAACTTTACAGACTCATCAAAGTTCACAAACCACCACCAACATTTATTTTAGATAGCCTTCTACAAGAAAGTGAACACGACGTTCTGCGTTTGCCTCCATACCATCCCGAATTAATTCCCATAGAGAAAATATGGGCCCAAGTAAAAAACTGGGTGGGCCAACATAACACAACATTTAAATTAAATGATGTTGAAACATTAGCAAGAGAGAAATTTCAAAATATAACCCCTGAGGAATGGGCAAACGGGGTTAATCATTGCTCGAAATATGAGGATATGTATATTCATAAAAAACATTTAATGGACGGATATACAGATTCCTCGATATTTAATGTAAATACGGAATCATCTGACAAGTGGGATTAAGAATTGCCGGATATTGAAAATTAAAATAGATAATCACAAATATATCTATTATTAAGTAAAATTTTCAGTTGTTTATTAAGAGTTTATTAAAAATTTGACAAACAATAGTCAAAATTCTGACTGATACTTTTCATTTACTAGTATTTCAGATTTAAAATATTTTATAAATGTACACATGCCACTGCTAAAGAAAGCACTGTTTATTAGGTACCCCTATCGTAAGCGATTTTAGATCAACGTCGTCAAATAAGCTCCTCCTGCCTACGCGAAACTAGACATTTTATTACGCAATATACTGTTCGGATAGTAATCGAGCTCTACCTACTATACCTAGTTCGAATTTTGTTTACTAAATTAGATTTGATTTCGTTAGAACTATGTGCCACATTAGAACTATGTGCCATATAGCCTCCCGTCAGAGAGTGATCGATTTAGGTGCCCCATTTTCGCATACAAGTTTTGACGAGAGTCGTAACCTACCGCACCCAAACGATATAGTGTGACTTTAAAGCTTTAAAGCCAACCGGCAACAAACAAAAAAAAAACTAAGGAGACTGATGCATTACCTTTAAATTAGTAGAGAGCATTCAAGAGATTGAGTACACTTATTTTATTTTTACTACCCTCGATATTGTAATCGTGAATATTTAGATTTTCACGTTTTCGGGTCCATAGATTACGAAAAACATGTTTTCCCCATTCCGTTGGCCTGTCCGCCGTCTGTTGTCTGCCGTCTGTTGTCTGTTGTCCGCCGTCTGTCTGTTGGCCCAATAGCTCAAAGACGGCTTAGAAGAAAAACTTAAAATTTTGTATGCAGGTAAGGCTTCCTCTTCGCTTAAAATTGGTTATACTTTTGATCAGATATATACATCAATTAAAAAAACATTTATTTTTAAAAGTCAGCTGATTTCGACTAAAATTGGTTTCTGATAAAAATTTTATCTGATCAAAGATAACTGATCTAGAATTACTTTTTAAAAATTCAAAATTGCTTCCCTGTTTTTACAATTTATACAGGGTGTTTTCTATTGGTATGCTAATATTGTAGGGTGTGATTCCTCAGGTCATTTTATGAAGAAATTCATATGAACATATGTCCGCAACGGCTTTAATTTTTTGCTACAAGCAGTTGAAAATTTGTTTTTAAAGAGATATTTTTTAATATAATAGTTTAGATATAATTTTTAATTTTGACATCTATTAATGGGATATAAAACCATATATTTTAGTTAGAAAATTTATTTTATTGCTCCACCAATGGCGTCTCTGCAAACATGTGATCTGATATTTTCTACAAAAAAAGTAGTACGCTACTGACATTTTTCTATAGTAATATTTTTACTTATTTGACTGGTCAATTGTACATCAATACGGCATCTTGTATTTTTCTCGGTTCTAGATTAAAATAATTGAAATTAATCGTCAATACTGCAAAATGAAGAAATTTTAATTTAATTGATGAACGATAAGGTAAACGACACTAAAGTATGTGGTTTAATATCCTATTATAAATACAAAAATATTAGAAAATCTCAATACAGTATGTCCGTGATATTCAGTAATACTATCTATGGCATATACTCTTTTAAATTATTTCGTCTGTAAAACTTTAAAAAGTTCTTCTTTCATATATCTGTCTTAAAAATACAAATCAATGTCCATTAGAAACTTTTGTATATCCACTTTCGTCATCGTATTGAATGTACTCTTAAAAAAATCTGCGTCTTGACTAACTCGTCGTCAGATCAACGATTCACCACAGCTGTGGATTCACAATGCAGGAGTGCGTTTAGAAACCACGCACGGCGCGTCTGGACCCTATTCTAATGTATGTGGTGAGACGCGCCGTGCGGGGTTTCTAAACGCACTCCTGTACAGGTGGTTAGAAATGCAACTGACAGGACCGGACTAGGTTTGTGAATAAACTTTTTAGACAATTCAATCTTCAATCTATTAAATAAAGTGTTACATCGATCTAAATATTTGGTTAAATATTATAATTCAATAGAAGATGTTGATGTTGCTTGAACAGCATTTTCTCGAATTGTTTGCCTCTTATTAGGTCTCTAGTAAGTCTAGATCACTGCATGATGGAAAATATTAGAAGAAAGGTTTATAATTTTTATTCTAATTGTACCATCTTTTCAAATTATTTAAAATGAAATCAAAATGGTTTCTGGTTTTCCTTACGAATCTGATAAAACCACTAGAAAAGTGCTCCAGTCTGTGTGTTTAAGATATCGTACCTTAAATAGAAAACAGCATATTATGGAATCGCAAAGAATTATGATTTTACGTAATGAATACCTTACTAAAGTAGAGGAAGCTCGTTGGCAAAATAGATTCATAGTGTATCTTGATGAGGCTTGGTACGGCATTCATGATATTGTGAAAAAAAGGATGGAGTAATTAATCTGCTAAATGTTCTGTAAAGGCTCCTTCAAATAGAGGAAAACGTATTATAAAATTATATGCCGGTAATGAAAACGGTTTTTGTTCCGAATTACGTGCTATTATCAGCAAACAATATTCAGCAGATTATTACCAACATTATGACATCTACCTTGTTCGATAAATGGTTTGGTGAACAATTAATTCCTAATTTGCCACCAAATGCTATAATGGTAATGGATAATACCCCCTACCACTCTTGTCAAACTAGTGAAGATCCAAAAGCAAATAAAAGTAATTTCCGCATTTTTTGACAGAATGGGTGTATTAAATTAAGTAATAATGATACTTTTATAGTTTTTAAATCATATATTTATGTGATTCCATTAAATTACAATGTAGGTATCATTTGACATGATAAAATTTTTTCGTAAATATTTGTTATACATTGTTATATATTATTATAAGCGAGTCCAAACTTCTATCAATATGTGCTCGGTGGCGCAGAGCGTACAGTGGTCAAAATTTGGATAGTGTGGATAGCAAGTTGGAGGTTCGAGCTCCCGAAACTTTTAGTTTTTTTTTTTTCTTAAAAAAAGGAAAAACTAAACATTTTAAATTAACAAGACTGTGAAATAATAAAACAATAATATTTTTCCTTTTTTTTTAAGAAAAAAAAAAACAAAAAAAAATAAAAGTTTCGTTCTAGAGTTATCGTGCCGGCATACGTTCATACAGACGACCAGATGAACATTTTTTATTTAGATTTTCGGATTCAGAATGACCAGAAACATGAAAAAAAGTTTTAAAAAATGCGGTTCAGAAAATTTTTTCGTCTGCACGAATGCAATACTGAGGCCCCATAAGAAGGGCCTCAATAAAAGTACGTTACTTTAGTATATTAGTTACAAAACTTCTAAATTACGAGCTCTTGATGAATAGTTAGTTATCCGCAATTTTCTTATTTTTATTGGAATGCTTTATTATTAAAATATTTTATAAATACCTAGTAACTTCTAAAAGCCTACTTTCTCCATCAATTCGAGTTATATTTCCAGGATTCAAAATATATTTGGGAGTCTGCTGAGTAGCAATTGAGGAAAACAAATCGTGTACGGTACTTTCTACTAATACTTGAAACCAGTCACTCACATTCGTTGCTACCAAATGCATTAAACCGAATTTTGATATTAATTGGCTTCTCTGTACATCTAAAAACTATAAAAAAAAATTGTTTTCTGAGAGAATAATAGTAGTTTTTATGTTATTAGGACGAACAGTTGAGTTTTTCAGGCGACTACGAAAAGAGGAGTCGGAATATAAACTTTTCGTCTGTATTTCATACATTATTTTTTATTCGAATTAAAAAAAAATATAGAAAATTAAATATAAATAATATTATTTACAATTTTTCATATGCTGAGATTATAGACTACTATTTTACAAGAGCCAGAAAAAATTATGGTCAGCATTATTAAAAGGTAAACTGAAAATAAAACGGAATGTCCAGATAGTAAAGCTGATTTACTTCTGCGGCATGGGCCGTAAAAGTACTTTATAGCAGTTATATTAATAATAATAATAATAATAAAAATAAATGGTCTTTATTCATCATAGTTACACATTTACAATAACAAAAAAAAAGAAGGAAAATTATGAAAAGGCGAAGTTCAGCACAAGGTTGTTTTTCAACTTAACCTGCAACGCAAATAAATTCATTTCATACACAAAATGAATATTGATGAAAACAGCTTAAATTATATTTACAAAAATTATTTTTCAAGAGAGTAAACCTATTTCTTGACAGTTCATGTTTTCGTTTTATAATGCAGATTGATTAGCTAAAAGGTTTTCTTTACTAGCAACGTACGAAAATGATCTTTCGAATAATGTGGTACTATGCATGGGTACTACTAATGTAGTTCTGTTTCTAGTGGGATAGTTATTAATATTGGAAAAAGACGTTAATTTTGTGAAAAGGTATTCCGGTTTTCGTAATTTTAAAACTTTGTGAACTAATACCAGCAAGTGTAACGACCGGTAGTTAGACAATGTTAGCCAACCTGACTCCTTCATTTTATGTGAAATATGTTCGAATTTTCGGATAACATAAGCAAACCGTAAACAGCTGTTTTTAATTTTTTGTAAACGCAAAGAGTCAGATTGTAGTAATGCTGTGCCGTACACAGTATCGCAGTAAAAAAGTTTTGAAAAAATTAATGATTTACAAAGTTTTATTTTTATTTTTGTGGAGAGCAAATCTCTATTAGGATATCAACCTCAACACATTGTAACAGTTTTGGGATAACATATTAACGTGTTTGCTAAATCGCAAATTAGAATCCAGCCACAAACCTAAATTCTTTCCTTTGTTGGTAAATAAAAGAGGAATATCGCCTATTTTAATTTCCAATTGTTGTAAAGCTCTTTCGCATGGTTTTGTTGGACTAAATGTAGCATGCGCAAAGAAATGTCATCAAGACCGACAGCGTTACTTTTTATGTGATGAAGGGATTTTCTTACTGATTCAGCGGTAACATTTTTAAAATTAAATTGTGAATTAAATTTTTGCTGTGTGTAGCAATCTAATTGACGTAATTGATTAGGAGTTTTATCAATATTAGGCAAACTATTAAAGTGTAAATTTATGTTATCGACTTGTTTTAAATTAGGAGGAATATCTGGATTTGATTTTTTTTTGAGAATTCCAAGGAATCGAAGGGTATTCCAAGTACTTTTTGAATTTTTATGTTTAAGTATGAAATCAAGGCAGGCTTTTTTTTCTCGCCGAATAGCTCCAGTTGTGTAATTTCTCAGCTGGGTATAATAGTTCCAGCTAATCACAGTTTTTACTTTTTTATATCTGATTATTGCAGAGTCTCTTAGGCTGATCATTTTTTTAATATTGTATGTGAGCCACGGGGCATGAGGTTTACTTACTCCTTTAGTAACTCTTGGAGCGTGGTCGCAGAAAATTTCATTAAGAAACTGATTTAAAAATGTAATCATTTCATCGACATCATCAAGGGAAAAAATACTATTTCAGTTAATATTTAGCAAATCAATATTAAAGTGATCTAAGTCTCAAATTTTGAAAAATCACGATATGTTATATATCATTTTATTGTGAATTTTGTATGAGTTAATATTACAAGAAACTGCGTGATGGTATGATATACCACGGTTTCGTATATCAAGTACCTTGACCGATTAAATCTCTTGCGTATCAGACACAAAGATGATGTCAATGAGTATTTTACTATGTGGGGTAAAATGAGTTGGCTCATTACTTGCTCCAGCCCGAAAGTGTTTAAAAATTTTATGCATAATTCACAACTCCGATTTTGTGTAAGGAAATCTATGTTTATATCACCCGATACGAGCAAGAAATCACTCTCAGGAAGTAAATTTGCAACGGTGTCTTCCAACTCACTAATAAAATTACTAACTGATGAAGCGGGTGGGCGATAAACAACACCAAGAATGTAAGTTTTTCCACTACACTTGGTGGATATCCATAGTTGCTCAAGATTAACTGTAATTAAAAAAAAAAATTAGTTTATATTGAATGTTGATATTTATGTAAAAAGCAACACCTTCACCTCCATCTGCCCTAACCAGTCGATATGAATTGATAAATATATTACTAGAATCCATTTTGGGATTTAGCCAGGTTTTGCTTATGCCGAAACGGGGAAGATAGATCCTACATTTAAATGCGAAAAGCTAATACTTCTTTTCATAATATATAATTATAGGCAAAAAATATCTATAAAATTAAATACACAAAAAAAAAACAGCAAAAGAAGAGAAAAAAAACGTTCATTAGAGGTTTGTTTCAACATAAACCAAATCAGTTTGCGTACTGTCGGGATTCTGCGCAGTCTAGAATTTGTGTTCCAACAAACCTTAGACTCGAAACTGTACAAATACATAGTGTTCCAACACAACCAAAACTAATCACAAACCGATTTGTGTACTGTCAAATCAGTTCCTGGGTCTGAATAGGAACGAATTGTCAAGACATGCGCAAAGCTGCAATAGACTAAACATATCGTGATTGTAATTAATTAATTATATTATTTGTAACTATTTGTCTCTGACAGTTCTGATTTGTATTTGTTAATCGAGTTTACTCTTTATAGTTTTTGTTCATGATCATTTATTTTATTTTGTGGTTTATTATTGTAATAATGCGTCTGTTGAATTTAAAAAATGTGCTCCAACACAATTGACTTCCGAGTTGAGTCCCAATCCCCGACCAGTACCTGACAAGTTGTCAATTACTAGTCATCGACAGATTGTCAACATTAAGTTTTGGACTGGTTTATGTATTGTTCCAAGATCGTTGTTGGAACAAACCTTAGATAAACATTTCCAGTTTGAAAAGTTATCCTTTTCGAATATGTTATCTGTCCGAAAAAAGGTGATTTAGGACACATTCGAATAAATAAGTCATTTTATTAAGATATAACGGGGGGTGGATTTCTCAGTGGTTAGAGTATGGACTTTTAGATCCAAGGGTCAAGAGTTTGAATCCAGCCGGTGACAGGATTTTTATTTAATTTAATTAATTAAAAATTAACCCTAATGCATAGACAGGATCCTACACTTAACGATTCACTGTTGGGTTCTAATTAACATTGCTTTTCCTAAAGTGGCACTGGGAAACAGTAACAAATCCTACACCAATAATCTTAGTAGTTGATAGCGATGAAACTAAATAAAAAAAAGATGAGATAACTTGTATGGTTTGGAAAAATTGCTTACTTAAATTATGTATTAATTTACTCTTTATACTAAAGAATCTTCCTTGCCTAATTACACGTATAACATAATTCGGGTTGGGATCAACTCTACAAATTATAAACAATATTTTTTATTTATTTTTTTTCTGGTTTTACTTTTTACCTAGCTTTTGTCTTTGCTCACTTTCTGCTCTGCTTACTCTGATTTTCCTAATACTCTACTATTTCTCTCAATCTTTACTTACTCTCCCCTCGTTCTGCTTCTCTGGTATCTGCTATTCTTCCTTTAATTTTCTGTAATTTTAAATTTCCTGATAAAATTTCTTTTTATGTATGCTTTCTTTATTTAATTTTTTCAATATTCCATTTGCAATGTCAATATAACAGGTTCTTTCTCTTTCCAAAATAATTTAATTGCTATATTCAAATTTCCTCACACATGACTTTTTAAAAATTCTCATTCTCATCCCTAATGACAAAAATCTAATTACCGACTCACTTTTTTTTTTCATATACCTGAACTATGCAGTACTGTCTTTCAGGAATTTACCACATCAAATCCCCCAATTTTTCATTTCAATAGTTCATTTTATAGAATAACACTAATGGATACAAAATTTTAAAATCCCTTTTTATATACAAATTGCTAATTATAAAATCGCTTTTACTCTATCACATCAACATCCAAATCTCAAGTACCTCGTTCCATATTCATCAAAAGATCCAAAATTCCGACTTTCATTTAAATTTTTATATCTTTTTTTTTTTAATTTTGCTATCATTCTCTTCTTTTTAGTCAACGTTTGATTCTTTACTATTCTCCAGCTTTTATCCCCATACCTATAAATTTTTTCTTTTATAATCCACTCGTACCTGTTTTATTTTCATTTTTTATAATCACTTTGTTTCTTCTTCCTGATCCTATTTGCTTAATTTTTTCTTTATTTGGATTTCCTCTTGATTTTGTATTCTGTTTTCTAAAATTTTATTTCTCATTTTCTTCTTTAATTTTTCCATGTCTTTTTTACTAGTTCTGTTCATAATTACTTCTTTTGCTATCCTGCGAAACCTGTAAATTTTCTTCAGTTTCTGTTTTTTCTCTTCTACTTTTACTTTCCAATCTTTCTTTTGTTTCTTAATTTCTATATTATTTATTTCTAACTTCTTTGCATTCCCATCTAACTTCTTACTCACGCTTTCTATCTTGCTATCTCATCTATCACTTTACTCAAATTCCTTATCTTTTTATTCCTATCCTCTTTAAAAACATCAATCTTTTTACTCAGCTGATTTATTATCTTCTATAAACGCTATCTTACGTAGACAGTTGGTGGCAGACGGAAAGCTTTCCTATTACTAATTATTGGAAAAAAGTTATTACTCATAAAAAGTCGTGTATGCTCTAAAACCTAAAATGCAACTAACAGATATCAAGTTTTATTAGTTGTATACGAGGTTTGTCAAAAAAAAAGGTACCTTACTCTCCAGAAAAATTTATATTATTTAACATACCTCCCATACTGTTGTAAAAATATTGTTGTGAGCCATTTCATTATGCAGTCATGCTCTAACCCTACAAGTCCCTCTCTGTCTTATTTAGCCTTTGAGGCTCAACTTATCCGATTATTATACATAATTAAACCCCTTAAGACCAAACCTATGGGACGACTATGGTGGAGACACTTTCGCGAACATTCCAGGATCAACGAGATACTATTTCTAGAACGTGATAACGTTTCTGGTACATACTGGCAATTTTGGTGGGGGAGCATTCTAGACCACCAATTTTGTATATAAATTGGTGGAGGAGAGCCATCAGAATCAGTAGTTATATGGACAGTGCAGATAAATAGTAATTAGTAGATAGACAGTGGTGAATATAAATAGTAATCGGTTTAAAGACATTCGAAGTATATATAAATTAAAATAGTATTGTTTAAAATAAATAAGTGTTTAAATAAATTATTAATAAATAAACTTTTGTTTGAAAATAAACAAACATCACAATATCTAATGGCTAAATTTTAGGTTTTAGACCATGCACAATTTTTATGAAGAATAACTTTTTTTCATAAAGGTAATAATAGAGAAATTTCCCATATGGTGCGAACTTAAGTGGACTCACTTTATATGTATACTTACATTGCTAAAAGAAAAAATGAATAGCATTTGTAGTAGTATAAAACTTATTCTAGCAGCTGGTTTAATGGCTCTTATTACCGTTGGGCAACCTGGTTGATTACTGAACTCAAAATACTGTCCGAACTGCAGAGCTGAGAAAATGAGAGAGCCTATTCCAAATCCTAAAAAAAAAACATTATTTTCTGGAAAATCCCTCAGTTAATTGATTAAATCTATCCAATGTTTTTAAAATTTTCTTACCGACAACACCCATTCTAAAATAGAAACTACCATATCTTGTGTACATATTTCTTCTGCAGTTTACCAAAAATTCGCTGGCATCTTTGTGCTGTCCGTTGTTGATTTCATATAATATTGATTTTGTTCTCATATGAATAGTGTACACGTACAACAAAAATATAACACTTACTATATATAGATATATGAAATATATCTGAAAATAAAATAAATGTACATATTACAAAGTAAGATAGATTATACATTATCTCAAAAGTGGTCAAAATTATTCAACAAGAATAATAAAAACACAAAATCGGTACAAAAAGAAAAAAGATTTAATAAAATAAAATGGTGTATGCTCAAAATAAAGGATTTTTTTAATCGAGTAGTTCAAAATAAACCTACAATACAATTTTTAATCGACTTCAAAAAAAGGAGGAGGTTCTCAATTCGTCGAAATATATTTTTTATGTATTCTTTTGCGATAATTCTTTACCATCTAGTCCAATTTCAATAATTTAAAATGACGTAAATACAAAAATTTAAGATATTTTGGTTTAAAATTTGTTTGTTGCTTAAAGTCAAGCCATAACTTTCTTTTTTGAAAATCTTTAGGAAATCTGAAAATTGTTCACTTGCAATGAATTTATAAATCTAAATTGAACAATAATTTATTCGTTTTGACAACCACATAAATATCTTAAAATTGCATAAAAGAATTGTTTAAATAGAAGTATGTATACCCTACAAACCATAAGACTACGCCTATGAGCACAGTTAATAGCAGACACACTTACCATGTTTATTTTCAAATTTAAAACAGTTAAAATTTAAATAATCTTTTTTTGTGGTTGAAAATTGAGAGAACAAAATACTTGCTTATGAAATGTAGTTCCTTCCTTTCTACTTTTTGCTGTGCTGCTATATCCACAAGAGGAACAACTGACCATATTATCTTGATTGTATTTTACCGCGGAAAACTTAACATTAACAGTAATACTAACTAAATACTAAAACAGTAAACACTTTTTAAAAATGCCTACAAAACATACGCTTGATAAAAGTTTAAATTAACACATAAAACATCCAAATTATTAACAAATTTTAATCACTAAAATTATGAACCAATTTTAAAACGCATTATTTATCATATGATGATGAGCCATCCATAGTACAACATGGCTACCACTTCCGTCAGATTGATTAGATTAACGCGGCATGCTCCTTACTGACTATAATATATTCTAAGGTTTTGACCATTGCTGATTCGCCTCCTTCTCTCGTCTTCATAATTTTGCGGTATTTGTTGCGTTCATTTTATTTTCATATAATATTGGTTGACAGACATTGACAACATAATTACAACTTGTGCTTTACGAGACTATAGACTCCTAGATCATGTAAAAATCAAGAAATTGTATGGAATAACGATGTAGGTATGGGGATAACATATAGACGATGTTAAATGATAAAGAACCAAACCCGAAAATTTTATTTTAAAGTGTAATTGATTAAAGTTTGAATCGTATACATCTCCCTTTGTTGATTTTTATAAAAATATTAGGTTAGTTATTGAAAAATTGGTTATTGATTAGAACAATAAATTATTAAAATTAGTAAAACAAAAAGAAACATTGAAGAATTAAAGCAGAAAATTAGGGAAAGAAACAAATTCAAAAGAAAAATAGAATACAAGATAAAGGAGAAAATAAAACATATAGGATCAAAAAGATAAAGGTATTATAAAAACAAAATTGAAGCAAAACTAAAATAAACACAGGAGAATGCAATAAGACGAAATAACAAATAAAAATAAGAGTGACGTTGAAATAAAATTAAAACAGATACAGGGGGATAAAAGGAAAATTAAAGTAATAAATAAAAGTAATAATAGAATATAATCAAAACAGTTATCAAATGAGTATAAAAGGAAAGTTAAAATATATAAAGGTGGCTGGGGAAAAATAATAAAAAATTGGAGCTTGACAGAAAAGGAGAGAGTTAGGACAAAGGTGAAAGAAAAGTTTAGTAAAATTTAGATGGGGGGGGGGGCGGATATTTTAAATTTTGGAACCAGCGGAGAACACGAAATTGAAAAGATAAAGTGGTTTAAAATATAGGAAAATATGTGATTGGGGAGAGAGAATAAGAATAAACGAATGTAAACTATGTGGTAAGGGGTAAGGGTTTTCACTTTCGAAAAATCGAATTTTTTTTGTCTTATCTTATTGTTTAGTATTTCAAGAATATGTCCTTAAAATTTTAAGCCGATATAAGCAATATTCTTAAAGTTATTGTCTTATTAATCTCCTGACCTTTAACGCTATAACTCTAACAGCTGCGGGCTATTGAGACAGTAGTTGTATGTATACTATACACTACAATATTTTACAAGTATAGAAATTAAAAATTTAAAAAAACCGACCTCAAAAACGTGCAGATGCCATCACCACATCTTAACCAAATTGATATGGGACCACCCCTGAGGTACCCCCTTACTAACAAAAAAGAATCATATAAATCGGACAAGGTGGTAAAGCATTATCGCTAAACATATATAAAAAATTAAGAGTTTGAGGATTTTCTCATGACTCAATTATTATATTTTGACCAAATTTATATGAAACCACCCCTGAAGTACCCCCTTTCTAACAAAAAAAGAATCATTGAAATCGGACATCGCGTTAAAGCATTATCGCGAAACATACATAAAAAATGAAGAGTTTGAGGATTTTCTCATGGACTCAATCATTATATTTTGACCAAATTTATATGGGATCACTCCTGAAGTACCCCCTTTCTAACAAAAAAAGAATCATTGAAATCGGACACCGTGTTAAAGAATAATCGCTGAACATACATAAAAAAAAATAAAATATCGCGACGAATTGATAACGTCCTCCTTTTTTGAAGTCGGTTAAAAAGAAGAAACGAGCGTCATTTTATCGTTAGACCTTCGACCGTGCGCTTGTCATTTTATAATTTTCTTAAAAAATGTCCTGTACAAAAATGCCGAGAGTAAGCAAAATTTCGAGAGAAGACCGACAAAGTGGAAGGACTTATTTGTGTAGAAAAAAAATTTTAATCCGAATAAAATAATTAAAGATGAGGCTACCACAAAAAGTGCTTTATTGAAGAAAATAAAGCTAAATACCAGTGCAATTGTACCAGAAGACGTTGAAAAACATTACAGAATCATCGATTTTTTGCTTGTTTTTTCAACCATCGCAAGTTTAATGAAATGTGCTCAGTGTGATGGTTCAGTTGAGTTTAAAAGCTTCAAAAAAGAAGACCTTGGCTTCCAAATCTAAGTCAAATGTGCAAATTGTGATCCACGCTTTATACCGTCGAGTGAGAAAACTGGTCATCGCTATGAAATCAACACTCGTTTTGCCTTTGGGTTTAGCATGCTGCAATAAATTTTGCGGGCTCATGGACATGGCAAGTAGTTTTTTTTTTCTAAACCATCTTATTTGGATCTCATGAAATCCATTAGCTGCAGCATCAAAATGACTGCTGAAAAATGTCTTGCTTCCGCCGCAGACGAAGAAAAACAGCAAACACGTGCAAATTCGAAGTCAGACATTTTGACCGTTTCTAGTGACGGCACGTGGCAGAAGCAAGGCTTCAGCTCTTCTTTTGGCGTCACTTCCTTGATTGTATATTGGTCTGGAAAAGTCATCGATATTTTCATAAGTAGTTCGCACTGTCAGGCTTGCAAATTATGGAGAAAGCAATGAAATACTAATGAATTTAAAGAGTGGTACCAAGAACACTTTGAAAATGATGAATGCCAAGCCAATCACACCGGACCATCAGGTAATATGGAAGTTAATGCTGTTATCTAATTGTTCCGCCGATTAGTAAAAAATTACGGAGAAAAGATCAGCAACTATATCGGAGACGGTAACAGTAAAACTTACGGCAATTTAGTGAAAGCTAAAGCTTACGGTGAACATTTCACTATAAATAAAAAAGAATGTGTAGGTCACGTGCAAAAAAGGATGGGTAAACGTCTACGTGATCTAGTAAATAAAACTGTAGAAAATAAAGTTGAAAAAACTGGAAAAAATGCTGGTAAAACAAGGCAAAGTAAGTTACTCGGCGGCAAAGGAAAGCTCACTGGAAAAGTCATTGATAATTTGAGTCGATACTACAAATCAGCAATCAGACATAATTGTGATTCGCTGGAAGGAATTAAAAATGCAATCTGGGCAACGTTCTACCACCAGCAGTCAACAGACGATAACCCTCAACACCATAAGTGCATGAGCGGTAAAAACTCGTGGTGTCCATATCAAAAAGCTTTGGCCACAACAGGAGTGGAAAATTTCAAACGTGACTACACTTCACTTTTAGAAGATGTCATACAAGCGATCAAACCGATTTATGAAGATTTGAGTAAAGACGAACTTCTAGAAAGGTGTCTTGGAGGCTTTACTCAAAATGCCAATGAACGTTTCAACCAGCTGATTTGGAGAATTGCACCGAAAAAATTATCTGGCAGCAGACAAATTGTTGAATTTGCATCTTATGTAGCTGCATGCACTTTTAATGAAGGTGCTGGTGCTTTCCTAACTTTTCTGTCTGACATGAACGTCAGCGTCTGCCCAAGCGCTCATGATTATGCATGACAGCATTCGCATTGACAGGGCTAAGATTCAAGCTGAGCAGCAAAGCAAAGAAGCCAGAATAAAACAAAGAATCGAGAGAAAAGAGGCTGAAGATATCTACAATGCCGCAGGAAGTCTGTTGTATGGAGCTGGAATCGATGATTCTGTGTAAGTTGGAAAAACATTTTTTTCTTCACTTTTTTAGTTCATAAACTTTAGACGCCTTTTTCTCAAAACTACTTTTTAAAGTCCGTGTTCACTGCCATTTAAAACCTACTTGACCGATTCATTTCAAACTTTGTACACATTTTCGACATATAAAATACCGCCTCCCAACGTTTAGTTAATTTTTTTTTACATTAAGAGTGTTTCCCACCCACAAAATTGCGGAATTTTTCGTAAAAAATAACAGTTCACACTTTTGATGGCCGCCAAAAATTTTTTAATTAAAAAAAAAATTATCGGAGAACGTTAGGGGGAAGATTTGATTAAAATTTAGCTAATTTTCATGGTTTTTTATTTTCAGATAATTTCCGGCCGAGTTATGGTGAACACCGCAAATTGTTTTTTTCCCAAGACGTTCTGGGGGAAGCTCTGTTACCGGCTTATGATTCAATAATTCTGCATGAAAAAATTACACAACATTGTCAAAAGTATGCTCAATAATGTACAAAAGGTTCGAATGAAATTTCTAAATCCATATTTAAGAAAAAAAAATCGAAAAAAAGTGTTTTTTTTACGCTGAAACCCTTACCCCTTATTGATGTCAATAGTAACAGATTAAAGAATTTGAAAGGTGGTAAATTACGAAGAGTATTTTATATAAAAGATTTGTATGAATATGAAATGTATGTTTAGATAATTAGCTGTTGAAGTAATATAGAGTTTTGAATAGTTCTGAGTTAGAAATAATAGTTACTTAATAGTAGTTTATATGTTTCTATCGATAAAAAAAGTAACGAAATCAATATTTCAAATGGAGAAGATGACCGAGGGGTGTAATATTTCTTTAATATAAATTGTAAAATTAAGAATGGAAATTAAAAAAATTATTTATTTCTTGCATTTGGACCGCACTGTACATAATAAGAGTTTTTTATAATAAATTTCCCAATTAGATTAGTTTATCTAACTTCTTGCCTACATGACCGGATTACTAAGTGGTATCTGCGACATAAACTTCCATATTTTTCTCCGTTTCTTTAGTCTTGCAAATTGTTTTAATTTGCCTGAAATATTTAATTTTATTATATCATTTGTGTGTTACCGATTTTATGATTTTATTGTTCGTTAAACTTACAATAAATAATTTTAGAAAAATTTTGAAAAATATAACAATAGGACCAGCCTTGATGACCATGTAGACAAAATTATCGAAAAAAAGATACGAGCACAAAATACCCGTTACTGAGAGAAAAATGCTGCGGGAGATAGGAGACAATGAAACTTACATCATGTTGTTCTGAACCTCTCATTGTTATCGATCTTGTTATCGAAAAAGCCATACCAATAATAACCAGCAATTTTGCATAAAATGCTGAAACGATGGATGTCAAAACTTCGCTGAAACAAAAATATTTTTTAGACGAAAAATATACATTTTTTTTTAATTCTCATCCGGTTGAAAGATCGTTTATTAAATCGCGCAATAGCTAATAATCCTTCTACTTTATTAGACTGTACGTATTTGGAAGTTCACATACTTAAGCTCTATTTAAGTTTGTCAAGCCTATAGATTTTAATAAATGTTTATATAACTTTCATAAGTGTTTAATTAAGATTATTATGTAAGATAAGGTAACGGAAAATTAACCCCAATAAAAGTCATTAAATCACCAAGACTGTTTATTTATTAGTATTATACTATTCTATATTTTATTGCTTGGCTACGAGATACGCGGTGAAACTTACAGCGGTATGCATAGTCGATCGCCAGCGAATATCAAATTTTTCCCTATAAAAGAACATGAAAATTTGCGTGAAATATTACATTCTTTTAAATTTAAAATGCTTCATTTAACGAAAAATCTCCCAGATAAATAAATATTATTTACGACACCTAATAAATAATAGCTATAATCACGGCCGTAAAAGATCCAAATTTCTGAACGTGTCTGGGAACACAGACTATATTTCTTTTCACAAAGTAATTATCATTAAAATACTTAACTCGCTTATTTTTCTAGTTTCGATGTTAAGACCGATATCGACAATATTTCGATACACAAAGCTTTCAAGGCAAGTAATAAATAAGCCACTCCCTGCACCCACCGTATTTCTATGAGAACTAAGGACATAGACACGTCACAAAGCCATTAAAACTTTTATTATAAAAAGCCAGACAAAAATGAGCTCAGATTTATTTATTTTTAATTATTTGATGTGCATGCATTTATTTATTATGTGCAAGCATTCATTTATTATTTGTATCCAGTTATATTTCAAGTTCAGTAATCAGTACCTTTCCTATAACGCTCTTCCTAAACGACGTCTACCCTACAATACCTCCTATCCCTGAAGGTGTCAACGTCTCGACGCCCAACGTCCTGTCGTCCTACTCCCTGCGTCTCGAACGCTGTCACATTCCTCATCATATAAGTATTTCCTACCGTACACTCATTTCGGCGCTCAACGTCCCACGCCTTATTTCCTGCGCTTGCCGTCCCTAAATATTTCCTTCATAATATCACGTCCCGCACCACCTACATAATTATACCGTATGCCTGTCCCAATACAATACCATATTAAATACCTTCCTTTCCACCGCGACGCTAGGCATCTCGACGATGGGCGCCTCGACGCCCAACCCTGTGACGTACCTACATCGACGCCGTCACGATAGATGAAATTAGTACATAATTTAATGTCTGTATTTTCAATGGTGAGTCAAAAGATTTATGTACCTTTCTTTGAGGTATCACCCGGGTTTCGTTTAAGGGCAGGATTGACATTTGCTGTAAAATATTATCAATAAACCACATGGCCTTCGGGTCATACACCCCGAAAGTTAGGATATACATCTGTGTTCGATGGGTGAAATTTTGAGAATAGAAATTATAAAAATCAATATTAAGAAATATACACGGTTATATTAAGTTATTTCAATAAAAATTATAATAATCAATAATAAAACATATACAGGGTTGTATTAAGTTAACTCAATAGAAATTATAAAAATCAATACTTTATAAATATACAGGGATGTGCTATCTTGGATAAATTGTACAAACCAAGATGGTAAAATTTAATATTAAGTTAACCAACTGGCGAATACGCTGTTCGTTAGCTCAAGGGGGGACACCTATACGCTAAGCAACCCGTTCTACAAGGTTTGAAACAAAGTATATGTGAAATCAACATGGTAAGTTAATCAACTGGCGAATTGGCGCTGTTTGTTACTTCCGTTGGTCATCACCTCTATACTCATCGTAATGTTTACCTAAGAGGGTGCAACCTGTATATATCTACAATAAAATCAAATCAACATCAACTCAATAGTTAATCAACTGGCGAATTGGCGCTGTTCGTTAACTTCATTGGTCATCAACCTAAATAAGAATATAAACATCAACACAATAGTTAATTAACTGGCGAATTGGCGCTGTTCGTTAACTCCGTTGATCATCAACCTAAATAAGAATATAAACATAAACACAGTAGTTAATCAACTGACGAATTGACGCTGTTCGTTAACTCCGTTGGTCATCAACCTAAATAAAATATATATTGATAGCAAATGAATATGGTCTACGTTTGAACGGGACTCAAGTGAGATCTCAGTAAATAGTACCAATTGTAATATGCTTTGCTAATTGTTGCATCAAATTTAAGTATGACAAATATAAAAGAGTTTAAATATAAATTTGTATGTTTTATTTATCAATTTGCACCAAACTTTGCATCGAATTCTGGTTTACCTTAATTAACATTATCACAACGTGGGTATACAAATTATCAATAAATTAACTAGACGATCACTTTTACTACTAGAGAAAAAAGGGCCAATTACAGTAAGTATAGAATTTAAAGTAAAATAAAACTTGTGAGGTAAAAAAATAACAATTTCACAGAGTAAAACACAAGAACAAATCAAAAAGAAAAGGGGGCCTGGAGGGTGACCGTCACAGTACCTACCTACCCGTATTTTCATATTTGTAAATTCAGGTTATACTTGTTAAACTGCGTATTCAAATGAACCTGTGAAATTTTTTTGGTATTGATTTTTTGTTGCCCTTATACTCAGCCCTCCCTATTACACAAGTCACGAGCCGCCACTGTCCAGAAGTATTTTACGTGTTTAAACAGCTAACTTTTTTGATTCTCAACATCCATGTTTCTATTTATTATCTTAATACTTGATATACCTGACCAAAGCTTGGGCTTTCCTTCTGCTATCCAATAGTTTTTGTTATCAAAGAAATTATTTTAGATATGCTATAATTTATATTGTGTCATAAAAATATTCGTTATTCTTTTAGTTTTTTAATACTTAACATTCTCTCTTATGGAGGACCAAATAAAGAACTGTCACCAACTATTTTCTCTATTATGCAGGAAGCGACGAAGTCGCTTGGATTGCTTCTAAAAGCAGGTTACTTTCTTAAGAGTTTAGCTGGGATCTTTTTTTGCAGTAAAGGTGACGGTTCATAATGTAATATTATGCGAAAGTCTAAAAATCACAAATTTGTGGGTTGCATTCTTTTTACAGAAAGCCGTCCAAATAGACTTCAAGAAGGACAAACAGTCCACATATATGCAGCCAAGAGTACTTGCCCTAATAACATTAACTACAACTGGGCAGACCCTGTCACAGCTAGCGGAAAAATGGCAAAACAGTGTGCCGGAGTCCCATTAGAAGTACATTGCGTTTGCCTGGCCATACTGCATTCTTAGTGTATCCCGAACTCTAGAATAAATTTAGATCCATCGTTCGTTTACCAGTGTTAAATTTTTGAGTACGGTCCTATTTTTATCATGTTAGTGAAGTTGAGCGAAATATAAAAATCATATTATTTAGTCTTTTTTAGGTAAATATCTTTTTCAGTTTGCATTGCTCTATCAAATCTTATTTAGCATGTGCATTAGTCGTCTTATTCATATCAATAGACATCGTTATTCAACAGGCCGTACAAGTTGAATTGCATATAATACGAAATAATCTCGTAGATATGTAAAATTATTCATTGCTACATTTATTTAAATTTTTTACTTGTATTTAAATATCTTTTTAAATAAACTTTAGTATTAATATACAACCTGACATGTACAGTACTTTAGCATCAGGCCCGCGCCTAGTACTTTTGACGCCCTTGTGCAAATTTTAAATAACGGTCCAAATTTGTATTACGTTCATATGTGAGTAAAGATACGGGTCAAGTTAGGTACTATTTATTATCCACTAATAAAAAATAATTTTAAAAAGTATTTTCACAAATTTATTTTCATTTTAATATTTTACAAGTTCAAGCCATACAAGTAGTTTTTTCTTTGAGGTACATAACATAATTATAAACTTATAGAAAACAGAAATATATTCTCAAAATTTTTGTATTTCTGTCTCAAATGTAATATATGATACAAAAGCACAAGAAATAAAAAAAATATTTAAAACATTAAAAATACTCTTTTATATATCACAGGACGAAACTAATCGACAAATACAAACAAAACAATATATTATTTAAAAAGTGTAACATGTCATCTTTTAAAGGTTAATATAATATCCAAATATTAGGTTTTTTTATTAATATTTTAGCTAAGTGAATTGAGCTTTTCGTGCTTAAATTTTTGCAAATTGTTTAATTAAATTTTCGGTGTGTATTTCTTTTAGCTGGGTCCGATTCTATTGAAATGAAAGCAAGATTACTTAGTTGGTTTTGCCCCATGTTCGATCTTAAATAATTTTTTATTATTTTGAGTTTTGAAAAAGATCGTTCTGCAGTAGCAAACGAAACCGGCATTGTTAATAAAATACGAAGTAGTATGCTCGTATTAGGAAAAGAATCCACTAAGTTGTTAAATGTTTTATAACTTAAAGTTGAGGTGAGGAAAACCCGGAAAACCTCACTCACCATCATTGAGACGGTAACGCATGGCGATTTTATATTCTGCATGTTATATCAACATAAATTGAATTTCTATTAATATCTGAAATTTAATTAAAAATCCACATGGTCTGGTTTGGAATTCGAAGCCCAGTAGTCTCTGACTCATAAACTTGCCTATAAATGAATATAAGCGCGTTAGACCGCTACACCACCGACCCGATGTGAACCATCAACATCATCATCACGTATCGAAAATATATTCTCTATAGAGTCGACCATTCCAACAAAGACGGCTACAAGTGACACTTGTGACGATGAACTTTCTACTGAAGTGGTGACTGAGAATACTAGTATTCTTATATCAGAGGACCTCGGTTTATGGCCCAGAAGCATTAACAATGACACAAAGTCAGAATATTGGTTGACCGTGGTTCTCTTTTGATAGAAAATAGTGATCAATTTCCAGCTAATAAAGTCAAAAGATTATTTGTTCAAATAAGTACTTTGTCAGAAAAC